TCCTCCTCCTCCTCCTCCCCCGACCTGAAAACGCTCCGGTTCCCCGGGGCCGGGCTCGGGGCAGACCCGGCCGGGAGGCGGCGGACGCGGGGCCGGGCGGTGACGGCGGCGGCGGCTCCCGGGGCCGGTTGCGGAGCCGGAGCGGGGGAAGAACCGGGGCCCAAGCGCATTCATATTCAAACGGCTGGGCCAATTGAGCCGTTCCCGGCGGCGGGCGGCCAATGGGCGGCGGGGAGGCGCTGGCGTTGCTTTGCATAAAGCAATATTTTGTGTGGGAGCGAAGGGAGCATTTGCATGTTGCGGAGTGATTAGTGGGTTTGAAAAGCCAGCCCCGGCTCCGCCGCATTTCCCGCTCTGGTTAAGGCGCAGGGAGGAAGTGTTTTGCTGGAAGATGATGACAGAGGTCAGGCTTTGCTAATGGGCCAGTGAAGAGCAGTGGAGGCGAGGCAGAGACCAAGGCACACATACATTAATACACTTGAACCATCACCAATCAGCATAGGTGTGCTCTGTCTCTCTCTCCCCACTTCACTCACACACTCTTTTATCTCTCGCTCTCCAGTCACTGACAGCCCATTTTATTGTCAATCTCTGTCTCCTTCCCAGGAATTCAAGATCACACAACCAGCAGCTTCAGTGGAGAAAAACTATTTTGCTGGCAACTCTTTTTAAAGCACCATCATTTCAAATCAGTGCGCTCTTAAACTATTGACAGGAGCTTTGACAACAAGACAGGATGCCTCATAAAGGTGAGTCTGCTCATTTCTTCTCCCAACTTCTCCCTCCTTGCATTTTAATATTTAGGCAGGGCTCTCGCTCTCTCCTCCTCTCTCTTTTCTCTCTCTCTCTCTCTCTCTCGTATTCCCATTTGCATTCCGGAGAGCTTCCCAGGGAACTTTCCAGCCCAGGAGCTCACAAACTTTCTGCCTTTCACATAAACCCGTGTCCTCTGGAAAAGCTAAAGCATCTGACTGGGAAAACAATGCCAACACCAGCAGCACTTCATTCCCACGCAGCGTTTGCTGGGCAGGGAGACACCACAAGCCACGGTGTCCGTGTCGCCGATGCTTGCCGGTTCCCCCAGCTCATAGGGGCGGCGGGGCCGGAGCCCGGGGACGTTGGGGTCCCGAATCTACCGCCCCGGGCAGTGGCCCGACCGGCCCCGGGCTCCGGCCCCACGCCACGCCGCGTGGGAGGGAAGGAAGAGGCGCCTCGTTGTCCCGGGGGCGGCCCCCCGTTCGCGGCACTAGCTTTGTGTTCCCCGCGGTCTGCGTTAGGGAAAGATCACCCGTGATAGTGGGGGAAAAGAGGGAGCGAGCGGCCGAGAGAGTCGCGTGGGGGAAGAAGAAGAGGGGAAAAAAAAAAAAAAAAAAGAAAAGAAAAGGAAAAAAAAAAAAGAAAAAAAAAATCACATCCTAGGCCAAGTCAGCTCCCAGGCGCGGTACAGGCGGGGAGCTGAGCGGAGCTGAAGGGCTGTCAGCTTTAATCAGCCACCCGGGGATCTTCCCAACTTGTCCCTAGTGCCGGCAACTTTCCCAGCTCCGGTAGCGGGAGAAGCGCCGGGGGCGCGGAGCCATCCGCAGCCGCGGGCCCCGCCGGGCGCCCCGCACCGCCCCGTCCCTCCTCGGCACCGGGGTGAGCCGTGCTTCCCGTTTGGGGAATTTTTTTTGCTATCTTTTTAAATCTTTATGCTTTAAAAATATTGCTTTTCTTTTTCTTCTTCTTTTTAAAATCTCGCTAATTTCTCCAAGAGCCCCATTTTCATCCCCCGCCCTGCGATCCCCCACTATAGCAAAGCCTTTTTTTTTTTTTACTTTAAGAAGTTACAAACTCCTCGCCGTGAAAAAAAAAATAATGTTGCTCCTGGTGCAACAATAAACTTGATTCTTTTTCCTCTCACAAGTGCAATTGAAAAAAAAAGTGGATTTGAATTTAACCTTGTAACGCTTTGCACGGAGGTGTTACACGGAGGCGCAGAGCAGGAATAATTTTTGAAAAGTTTAAAAACAAACTTTCTCTCCGGACTAAATGTATCTGGCAGAGGATGTTTTGGAAAAAGGCAACAATGTCCTAGAGAAAAGTGAGTGGATCTTCTCCATCGTAGGGACATAAAATAATAAAAGTGGCCCTTGACAATAAATGTTTATAGCTGCTGACCTTTACTAACGCCTAATCGCAAACCGATTCGGTTTTATCTTTTTCTCATTTGGCCCGGGAACGCGAAACTTTGTCATCTTAATGTTTAATTACGGTTTCACC